CAATACATTTTTAAGCACAACGTATAAACTGGATGCACAGACAGTTTCCTGTTTTGTACAGCCAGAAAACCCAAATCATCATTAGCATTCATGTGAAGTTTGTGTTCACCTGTTTGTTGTCTCCAAAACAGACCAAAGAGAAATACCAGTTGCTAAATGCTCCACTATGTTTATCCATTAGCCTTTAACAGAGCCTTTGAGATCTTTCCTGCTTGGCACTGAGTGCACAGGCCTTAAGTGTTTGGGTTTTTTTTGCTTTTGTTTTCTTGTTTTGTTTCCTAGAAACAACAGCCTGCTGACACTAATGGACCAGTCAGAGTGGATTAACAATCCCACCACTAAAAGCAAACCTCGCTCTCCTGTAAGTCGCTCTTCTAATCCTCTAATAGACAGTCAACAGGGGGTTACAGCGATTTTGTTTCACCACATAGCCCCACATGTGCGTTAGCCGTGACTGACACCAGTATTTAAGGGATTAATAAATACTATATTTATATTGCTGTTAATAACTGCATAGCCTTAAAGACAACATATATAAATTAATCATTAAGTTTTTGACTAAGGAACACAGGACATGAGATATATGGAACATTCAGACTGTTTAAATGAATCATTCTTTCCTGTAATAATTACTTTTCTTGGGGGTCTACAAACAGAAGTTTTAAATGGACTCACCCACTGCCATGTCCAGCTTCACACCAATCCAGATCCCCTTGGCAAACTCCACCCCTCCCACATAGTGGACCGTTCCTCTCCTCTTCCCCACCCACACCTGCTCACCAGGTGCCATCCAGTCAGGAAGCTGAGCAACAGGAGTGCTCTCATCCCCACTGGAGTCTCCAGAGGGCTCGGCGCTGCTGGGATTTGGACTGGGACAGGGACTTCCATGGGGCAGATCCCCTTGGGCTGGCTCCTGAATGGGAGGTTCTCCTCCTGCTCGCAGAGCTGGAGCTGAAGACGTGGCTGTAGGTAACGATGTGAGTAGAGATGGCGATTGTGGAGGTGGGACCGATGCAGCAGGATTTATTTGGGCTGGAGAGGCGGAGACTGGGGCTCTGACTGAAGTGCAAAACACTGTTGTGTTAGGGCAGGACACACCTACACTAACGGCGTTTTCATAATTAGGATATTTGCATATTGTCTTTTCGGGAAGAGATGTCTTAAGAATACCAGAGACATCAGAGGTGAGCTGATTGTCAGTGTCACGTGTTTCTACATCGACTGTTTTCTTCTGCTCGTTTGTACAAACCTCCAACCCCTCCTCCCCCCATCCCTGTGTAAAATGTTCCAAATCAGCTACACCAACGCTGTCATCAGCCCCTTTAAAGTCAGTAAACTCCTGGCTGGTACTGAGTACACAGTTGTTTGGTGAAGGAAATGACTGTGGCTTATCAGTGCAATTAGGAATACTGATAGGTGAGGAGGCTGAATGGATGAGCAGGTCCTGAACCCCATCTGCCGAAAGAGGTCGTGGCTGAGCATCACTCCCTGCAGAAACACCTTTGGTTCGGGTGCCGCCTCTTCCAACAGGGCAGCCAAGAGGGTCATGGGAATCTCTGGAGGTGCAGCTGATATGGTCAGAGCTCTCACTGGCACTGAAAGGCATGTCAGACAGCGTGGCATTGGAGGCACTGTGTGAAAAGTAACCACTAGTGCAACTGCTGTTCGTGGGGCTTCGCGACACCTCTCTCTCGCTGCTCCCACCTCCACAACGGCTCCCCTTCAAGTCAGAGCGAAACCCCTCCTGGCTCTCCAGAGTGGCGTTGTAGATCTCAAAGTTTGCAAAGTCCTCTGGGACGTAAGGCTGTAAGGTGCTTTGGTCCTGAGAGCCACGATTTAGACTTAGAGCCATGCGCACATCCGTCTCCTCGTCTTCAGAGTCCTGCCGATCAAAAGAAGAGCAGCGGGACAAAAGACACACCAGGTCTGATGTTAGTTACAGCACGTATAGCCTATGTGAAGACTATTTACAGAAAGAGACTGGAGACAATGAAAATGGTTGAATGTAATGATGGAACAGAGCATAATGTATGAATATTGTGACACTTTTTTCTTTGATCTTTGATAACTTTACTGGTGTTTGCTGCTTTAAATTTGCATTCACATGCTGCATGTCCTTTAACGTGACCCATCAAGTTAAACACCTATCAAACCACTCATTCTACACTTAGGGCCACGATTTGTTGGGCAAAGACACAATTTGTGTATTTCTGTAGACCGCCATTTAAATGAAACAATTAATACATGACTGAAGTGCCTGCTTCCAGCTTTAATTCAAGAGGTTTAACAAACGTCGGAATTACAGTTATTTGTATATACAGTCCTCTAAATTTTAAAATTATAAGAATTAAGCGGACAAACCAACATCATTTTAAATATGAGGATTCTTTTGAATACTTTTGCAGTCATTGAGGTTTGAAACCCATGGACATCACGAAATGCTTTCTCCCTTGAAATGCGCTGCTAGGTCTTTACTGCAGCCACCTCAGCTGCTGCTTGTTTGTGGGTCTCTCTGCCTTCTTTTTTGTATTTATTAATTGTAAAGCATGCTTTGTTTGGTTGAGATCAGGTGACTGATTTCATCATTAAAGAAACTCTTTCTTATGATCCATAAAGTCAGTTCATCTTGACATTTCTTCAGGGGAAGAAACGTTTTGTCACTCATCCAAGCTAGACTGGGATTGGATGACTGAGGATGCATCTTATACTTTCACCCTCCCATCATTCTGGTAAAAGTTTATTGTAGTTTCTTCAGACCAGAGGAATTTTTCAGATCTGCACAGGCTCTTTTAGATGTTAGACATGTCTGATCTGACCTTCTGGTTCTTTGGTGTTTTGCTGTTTTGCAAACCCTTTGTATATACACTTATGAAGGTGTCTCCTGATTACAGACTTTGACAACAATAATCCTGTGGTCTTGCACTTTAGCTGTCTTCCGTGGTCTCCCAGGTATTTAGATCCTGTTGAGATCTTTTTAACAATGGCAATCATTTGGCCATTCCAAAAGTTTTTCTCTCTGATAAGTTTATTTAGTTTGTAAGCCTAATGATGACCTCCCTGAATTACACTGACGTTTCTTTGGGGATGATGACAATGAAAAGCTATAAAATCCAGTTTCAACAACTGATATTATGTCTGCTCAGTTTGTGTTGAAATCACACAATCACCCTCCTTTAAACATGAAACTACTTTTCAGTCAATTAACAAACTAATTTTGAGGAAATAGATGTATATGAAAATGGCTGTAATTCCTAAATGGTTAGTTAAAATTTATTTTTAATTTAAATTAAAGCTGAAAGCCTGCATTGCAGTTTTCTCTTGGTTGTTTGATTTTAAATCCATTTTCCTGGTTTACACAGGCAAAGCCAAAAAAAATGTACAGTATAATAGTATATTTTAGCATTTCACTGAATATTTGAATGAGGCTGCTTAGAAATTATACTATACTATATCATAATATTTTCTCCAAAAACATATATTTGTGCCAACCCATAAAACCCATGAAGCTCTGCTTTTTCAGCTACCTAAGTATTAAAATTTGGTCATAACTTATTTCAGCTTGTGATTTTGATGGTAATCTGGGGCTCATAGTAGCATTTAAACTGCTACTATGCTATTAATCTTAATATTTTCTATGCATGTTTTAGATGTGTTGCATGTATTGCATTATAATCAAAAGTATTACCCCATTAATATCACAGTATTACATATTTTAACCAAAGTATTGAACTGATATAAACACTTTTTTTCTACCAGGTTAGTAGCAACCTAAATACTATTATTTCTAACTAGCTTTCCTGACTAATGCTATGTTATTACTGAGCCAATGAAGATGACTCTTGTTGTAAATGCTGTCAGTTCACGGATTATCTGCCCAGCAAAAGGACAAGTGTATAGTTGTGAATGCGATACTTACAGCACACAGACTACTTGTTACGTCAGCACGTATTATGTCTGTGCAAAACTCCTAGAGTAACCCTCAGTGGAGAGTGTAACACTTACAGCAGTGTGTGGCAGTGTGTGGCTGAGCTGTCTGCTGGTGGGAGTGGAGGTGGGGGTGGAGGTGGAGGTGGAAGGCTTGCAGTGGCCCTCGCTGCCTGCCCTGGGTCGGCGCCAGGGGCAGGGAGGGGGGAGCAGTGCAGGGCTGTCCACACATGAGCGCATGCTCTGCAGATGGGTCAGAACAACAGCACACACTTCACACTCACACACACAGCATGCATGGAGCTGGGCAGGCCACTTATATCATTAGTGCCATGCAGTTTAACATTTCACAAAAACACTGCTTGAAGTGCACTAAGGACGAGGGACAGTACTTTTTATTAGAGAACACTGGTGAGCAGTTAGCCTGTGTAGTTTCTTGCACTCGTTTTCTCATGCCCCGTGAACAAGTATAATCTTAAGCACTTGCTCACACTTAATACATGCATAAGACCATTTTAAACAGACTACTGCTATTTATGTACATTTATGCATTCAGAACTTTTTATGCTGATTGTTAAAAACCTAATTCTGAAAAAGTTGGAACTGAAAAATGTAAATAAAAACAGATTCCAATGATTTACAAATCTCATTAAACTCATATTTTATTCATAGTAGAACAAAAAAAAACAAAAAAACAACCCATGTCAAATGTTTAATCTGAGGGATTTTACTATTGCATGACAAAAATGAGCTCATTTTGAATTTAAAGGCAGCAACTTTAAATATTTCTTCATCTACAGTACACAATACAACCAAAGGATTCAGAGAATCTGGAAAAATCTCTATGCAAAAAAGACAAGGTTGAAAATCAGCATTGGATGCTCTCTAAGGCAGCACTGCTTTAAAAACAGACATGTCACAGAAATCACTGCATGGGCTGAGGAACACAGCTCCCTGTGCCATCCACAAATGGATGTTAAAGCTCTATCTTGCAAAAAGAAGCCATATGTGAACATGGTCCAGAAACGCTGCTGTCTCTCTGGGACAAAGATCACTTAAAATAGACCATGTTTGGAAAACATGGACTCTGCATCCTCTGGATTAAAAAGGAACGGCAACAGCTGACTTGTTTTCAGTGCTGAGTTCATAAGCCAGCGTGTCTCGTGGTATGGGGGTGAATCAGCGCCTATGGGATTGGCACCTTTAAAGGGACTATCAGCGCTGAAGGTTATATACAGTCCTCTCCACAGAAGTCCAACAACTGGTCTCTCTGGTTCCCAGCCATTTACTTATTGTAGCTAAGCAAAGAGGAGATACCCATCCCAACTTATTTTTTCTGAAAATGGTGAATTTCTTAGTTTAAATACTTGATGGGTTTTTTTTTTGCTATTGTGAATAAAATATGGTCTTATAAGATTTGCAAATCATCACATTCTGCTTGTATTTGCATTTTACACAGCATCCAAAAATCTTTGTAACTGGGTTTGTAGAAACTTCTATCTGCGAACCACAGTATTCCTGATATAACCTCAGTCCTTACACCTCTCTTAGTCCACTTCAAGAAAACAAATGTGCAGTGTTAGTTTAAATGATCGAAACGGTGACAAAAATATCCGGAAATTCAACTTCCACAAATAAAATGAGACATAACACAGCACAGCTTAGTCAAGTTGAAGTCATGCTCCTATGTGTCACGCATCTTCTGCTCAATAAAGTGACAACAACAAAGTGAATGATGTCATCACGCAGCTTCGGACAATTTGTACTTTTTGTCAGCGTAGTTATACTGAACATGTTTTGAAAGTGTAACTTGATGTGGTGAAATTCCAACAGTGATCTGACAAAATGGAAATGTGGAACTGGAAGAAAAGTGCAATGGCAAAAGGAGCAACATGC